CCCCTTCCCTCCCCTCACAAATGATTTCTTCAAAAAATATTTCCCATCTGGTCCATTGCTGTCGCGACAAACTTGTCAATCATAATATGCTTTACCACCAGGAAAATTTTTATCTGTAAACAGCACAGCAACATGAAGCAACCAACCCATCCATACACTGCAATTGTGTAACACCATCCCCTTAGGTCTAAACGACTACCCTCTAGCGGTCGTTACCGTGGCCAACCAGACGGGACTTATTAAAACGCTGTACTGTAGACCGTGGTCGATTGGGCAGTACTTACAGTTTTTTTGCTCTTCGTTTTGGTTAGTGTTTTACTGCGCTCGCAACGGCATAAGGTCATAAAATATGAGCGCGCGGGACACAAGAAACATTTTCAGTAGGTAGGAAATTTTGAATTTTGCCGGGGGGCCGCCAAAGCCTACTCTTATCGATTTTAGACTACCAAGGGATCTTTAAGTTGCGCAACATGCACACGGGACCTTAGAAATTTTTCACCTTGTCCGAGAATTCTAGGTGTAGATCTTTCCTACCATAAGATCAGGGGTGTGGCTGAAAGGCAGCAGTAAGAAGGATCCAAGGAGTAGCAGTAGAAAGAGTCAAGAGCCTAGAGGAGGGGGCAAAGGAGGTGAGGGGGAGGGGGCAGAAAGTGGAGACGAAAGAAGACGACAGAGCATTGCTATAGAGCAGGAAGGAGGGGAAAGGAGACAATTTTAGAGAAGAAAATTTTTCCGTCGCTACCCAGATTCGAACCCGGGACCTTTGAATGAGAGACGAACACCTTAACCTTTAGGCCACGAGAGCCCCCGGACTGACAGTAAACCATTGTAGTGCAGTAGACCTTAAACTAAACAACCGTAGGACCTACACATTTTTCATTTTCTTTTTTTTTTTGTATGAAGACGTTTTTACACCGCCACTACCCCTCCCCCCTTTCCCCAAATCAAAACAATGTTGTTCATTAAACGTTTTTAAAGTAAAGAGGTCACATATATACCATAGTTTGGTGGTGGTGGCGGTGGTGGTAGTAGTATGTTGTTTTCGTGTTGTTATTGTTGTTGTCGTTGTTGTTGTTGTTGTTGTTGTTGTTGTTGTTGTTGTTGTTAATCCAGTCTTTGAGAGATATTAGATCTAGTCTTTAAAAAAAATAGTTTGTATGCCATGCCACTCTGCCTTATGTGCACAGTTTCGTTACGTTTGTAAAGTGTGTGTGTGTGTGTGTGTGTGTGTGTGTGTGTGTGTGTGTGTGTGTGCGCGTGTGTATTGTGTATGTGTGTATGCCTGTATGTGTGTGTGTGTGTGAGTGTGTGTGTGCATGTGTATGTGTGTGTGTGTGTGTGTGTGTGTGTGTGT